ATATTGTGCTGTTTTGATGAAGTCAACACGAACTAACATTCTTGGTGAGAAAAAACAGAAAGAATTACAAAAAAATTTCAAAAGGTCGAGTCAATGGAGTCAAACTCGACTCGACTCGACTCGACTCGGGAGTAGATATCACTGGACTCGACACATCTCGAAAAATCTTTAACTCGACTCGACTCGACTCGGCATTTAGTCGAGTCGAGTCGAGTCGATTTGTCGAGTACTCGACTCGTTTTCGGTCTCTGGCTCGAAATACTGTCATTCCATTTGTTGGTGTACACTGTACCTTAGGATAAAATTGCAGTAAAATGTCCATTACTCTGAAGAGAAGGTCTACAAGTGTTTCTTCTGCCGACATTCGAAATTAGCATAGTCAATAACCTGTAATCCAGTCGGTTTCATCCAAAAAGGTATTGGGCAGTTGAAAATGTTCCCTCGTGAGTGTGCAGAGAAAAGATAGACGTTTGTCCATAGTCGAATGAGGGTGTGGGTGTGGGTGTTAAAAGAAGCAACACCCACACCTACACTTACACAACCACACCCCACACCCACAACTGGAAATGTTGATTGATCTTTTTGTATAACTTCATCCGTTATTGGTGGTGATTTTGTAGCAGGTGATACTGTTGATGGAAATATTGACGATGAAGATGTTGCTTAATGAGTATCAAAATTAGGTGATGCTAACTTTTTATTTATTTCTTGTTCAGCTCTTTCATCTTCATCATTTACTGATAACATTAATTCTTTATCAGAAAATAAATCGTCAAATGACATATGAACCTCATCATCAAGGTTTTTATCTGTATGACCACGGTCACTATCAACTTGAACTGCAGATTCAACTGGAAAAACTGGTGTTCCCTGTTCGACAGTAGAACGTCTCTTTGGTTCAATAAAAGTTGTAACAGGATGTTATTTCAGTTGCTTTTGCTTTCGTTATGAACGGCATGTTTGAGTTCTTTGACGGGTCATTCCTTTTGTATTGTTTCATTAACCATGAGTGTAGTAGTTTCATTGGGTGTAAGTGTGAGTGGGTGGGTGTGGGTACAACAAGATAAGGCACATATTCACAGCCACAATCACACTAACTTGCACAACCACACCCATACTGACACCTACACCCACATCCACACCCACCCACACCCACAGCTTTGAGTCTTCGAAATGTGGAACGAATGTTATGTCTATATAATAATTTTAGTAAAGAAAATAAGATTTAAAAGATACTGTTTTGAATTTGTCAACGGTATCTCACGGTGATTTTTTTCCAAAACGGATGTGTTGTATAAAATAGTAGATGGATTATCTTCTACAAGGAATAGTCTTGTGGGCAGAAGTATGTTCATGAATTGTTGCTCATATAACTTCAATTTATTTAGTACGGCTTTTGGTTGAAGAGGACTGAAGTATCAGTAATTTATTTTTAAGTGGAACAAGAATATTAATTTACACAGTATTTAGAGATTCAATTTCACAAAGACAAACGTGAAGAAACATGTAATAATAGACTACAACTGCTCCTCACACATGTGTTCATAATGAATTTATAGTTCGTTTCACAGCTCACTCAAAACATAGTTGGCATGTATTTTAAGCCAAATCGAACCGATGGCGATTTAATTGACAGAAATATAAAGTACTGTTTTTGACGCATGACCAATGCTATGCCCGCGTCGTTGTGCAAAGCGCATAGCCGGATCTGTACTATATGAAATGTCAATGTCCATATCTTGAGCTGTTTGTTGATAAGTAAAACGAACTGATCGATATCGTTTATTGATTTCTTCTACTGCAGCTAAGCCTGCTTGACTCCGTAACTGCGCACGAAATGCACGTTCGGATGGGGGATATGCTTTAGTTAGACCAACTTGAGATCTACCGGTGCATTTGTTAACGTAATTGATTGCCTGGCAATATTCTTCTGCTGTCATTTTACCTTTCAGCCAACTAGGATCAAGAAGAGAGTTCGGATTGAAAAATCCATTAGAACCTTCGAGTTTAATAATTCCACCGTTCATAAGTTCGACCATAGATAAATGAGGTGTGAAATTTGCGACTTCCGTTTCAATATCTGCTTCTGTATATGATCCAAACATAGCAGTTAAAGCACAACCCATTTTTCAATCTAAAATCTTTTTATGGAATGTAAAATAATAATGGTCCAACGGCTGACGTCAATTTTTTTGATTGATGCTTCATCAATGAATTGTATAGGCTTTTATGTGATCGTTTGGAAGATTGTGACGTCCAAAAACAAAGAAAGAGAATGACAATAGTGTGCGTTAATAGCGCTACTTCAATGTTTGATGTTTTTTAAGCACTTTCGCATTCTTCACTCTTATCCTAGCTGCTTCACATAGTTACAATGTGCGACAAAGCATATACAAAGTATTGACGTCATATTACTGTCAATTTTGTTTTTCCTTAAAATAAAAGTAAACTTTATGATAAGAATAAATTTACGCAGATACATATGAGTAATAAAGAAGCGAACATAGAACACAAAAAGTCTTGGGAATAAGAAAGCAAAATGTTCATGTATCATGGTATTGTATGCTCCTTTATTATTTCTTCTTATCATACACTGTTTAAAAAATTCGTAAAATAAGAGAAGTCTAAAGGGTTGATGAAAATACGTTACCTACGAATCACGCTGAGAAAAGATATTTCAAAGCGTTTATGAACATCTAGAATGGTCAACATGATTTATAATAAGATAATATATATGAAATGGATGATTGACCTCATTTGTTGACATCAGGGTGTGCGGAAAAGTAAATAGAGTAGCACAAAAGTAGTATCAATTGAATAAAATGTTTCTTTTTGTCGTCCATGATCAGCGTAAGCTTATAAAAGACAAACAAAAACAATAACGATTTTAATCGACATATGAATCACACATTAGTTATACATGTGCATGCCACAATTATGAACGAAAGGGGATCGAGATTACCGAACTTTGTAAGAAATGCATATTAGGGTGTGGGTGTGGGGTGTGGGTGGCGGGTGTGGGGTGTGGGTGTGGGTGTGGGTGTGGAGTGTGGGTGTGGGTGTGGGTGTGGAGTGTGGGTGTCGGTGTGGCTGTGGGTGTGGCTGTGGCTGTGGCTGTGGGGTGTGGGTGTGGGTGTGGCTGTGGGGTGTGGATGTGGATGTGAGTGTAGGTATGGAGTTAGAGTGAAGAGAACATCCACATGCTACATCCACTCCCACACACACCCACACCCCACACACACCCACACCTCACCCACACC